TTTGTATTGCCACATATTGTTTGCACATATGTGGCAATACAAAATGTTGCGAGACGCATATTTGTCCCTATCAGTAGGAAAATCACAAATCCGTACAGCCTTCCATATGTTAGACTTTCTGTTTTAAAATGGTGCCAAAATCCTTGGTCTAGGGAAGAAGTAGGACGGACCACGGAATGAGAATGGATAACAACCATGTCAAATGGTCATAAATATTCCTATTTATATTTATGACTATTAGATAGTAGCAGCTGTTGTCTGGAGTTTTACATATCTACTATACTTGGCAAGAGTCTATATGACTGGTGTAGCACTGGTGTTGTATTTAAAGGAATGAACAGATTCAGGGAGAATGCAAACCATGAAATACTCAATGAGTAAGGGTAAACTTACCCTTAGCCCATCTCTCCCATTCCAATCTAACTTGTGGAAGAATTTGGAGGAGGAAATGCTAGGTATGTTCTTGATCTTCTGAAGGAACAATAGGACCTATAAGTCTAACAAACATAAATAGCCTTTGTGGCTGTTACGGCACATTGTCACAATACAAGGACTTCCCTTTATACAGGTAGTCCCCGATTTATGACCACAATTGAGCCCAACCTTTCTGTTGTTAACTGAGACATTTGTTAAGCGAATTTTGCCCCATTTTATGAACTTTCCTCCTTCAGGTGTTAAGTAAATCAGTACGGATGCTGAGTTAGTAACTCAGTTGTTAAGTGAATCCAGCTTCCCCGTTGACTTGCTTGTCAGAAGGTTGCAAAAGAGGGTCACATGACTTTGGGACCCATCAATGGCCATAAATCTGAACCAGTTGCCAAGCACCTGAATTTTGATCACGTGATAATGAGGATGCTACAAAGGTTGTAACTGTGAAAAACAGCCATAAGTCACTTTTTTCCAATACCCTTGTAACTTTGAATGGTCACTAAATGAATTTTTGTATGTTGAGGACTACCTGAATATGTGTATCTCACATCATCATGCATATAAATAAGGTGTGGGACTTGCATTGCAATATTGTGTTGCTTAGAGCCGAGATGGCACAGTGGTTAAATGCAGCACTGCAGGCTACTTCAGCTGACTGCAGTTCTGCAGTTCGGCTGTTCAAATCTCACCGGCTCNGACCAATGAAAGTATATGAGAAAAAAATGAATAAAACTATCCCCTAACAACAAGAACGATCGCAAACCATTTGTGAGCAAAGCTTATATGTAAGAAAATAAATGTATTGTGGTTGTTTAACAGATCAGGAAGGTAAAAAGTATCAGTGTCCACAAAATTTAAATATGGGGGTAATTGATTCATGGTGAACGTCCCTGCAGAACCAGCAATACAGAAGAACATAGTTGGGAATTCTAGGGCACCCATCTCACGGGACAGTATTGGGTTTTCTATGGAATTTTCCAAAACTGGTAGTCTTCGACCAGTGGTGGGATTCAAATAATTTAACAATCGGTTCTCTGCCCTAATGATTTCTTCCAACAACCAGTTCACCAAACTGCTCAGAAAGTTAACAACCGGTTCTCCCAGAGTGGTGCGAACTGGCTGAATCCCACCACTGTCTTCGACTCACAAAAGCCCATTTAGTAGCTTTTTGAAGTTATAACAGCACTGAAAAAGTGACTTATGACTTTTTCACATGACCATTGCAGCATTCACATGATCAAAATTCAGATGCTTGGCAACTGACTTATATTTATGACGGTTGCAGTGTCCTGGGGTCATGTGGTCACCTTTTGAGGCCTTCTGACAATCAAAGTCAATGAGGAAGCCAGATTCACTTAACCATCATGTTACTAACTCAACAACTGCAGTGATTCACTTAACAACTGTGGCAAGAAAGGTCACAGTGAACAACTGACTCGCTTACCAACATAAATGTTGGGCTCAATTATGGTTGTAAGTCAAGGACTACAAGTATTTCCCTTCCAGGACAGCTGTGGGGAGAGTATTAAATCAAGCTAAAGATCAGACTCTCCTGAACTTTACTCATAGATGACTGCAAAGTAATGTTATCCTTCCAATATCTCCCCCCCACCCATCTTGGCACAACTAATCCTTCCATTGCTGCCATCATCCTGCTAGAATCAATGAAGTTTTTTGGATGAGAAGTGAAACATTTTCTTCTTCAAGGATTCTTCTTCCTCAGGGGAAAAAAATAGTCCAGTTGCCTTTTGAAAAAACACTGTTGAGTATTGCTGATCTGGATTGGCTGCTGTTTAGGCGGGAGCAATGCCTGCCTCTGATTGGTTGGTCGCAGTTGACAGCGGAGTATTTAAAGGCGCTGTCAGGCGCGAATTGGCGCTTCATGTTTTATTTGTGTTTTGAAGTTACTGTTCTCTGTTGTCTAATAAAAAAGTTGCCTTAACCAAGCATTCGCCTAGTTATTGAGTCCTGAACCTTATAGTCAAACACAGCAAGCACCTTTGAGAAAAAAACTACAATCTGGATCATCGAGAATCTCCACAGACACAGATATCCTTATTGTCTGAGTCTTTCCACATGGTGACACTTGCCATCCCAAAAAAAACCACTGTGCTGACTTCACTATAAGTCACTTGGCTAATACATTGGCTTGTTGGAAAGATAATCCATCTGGTTCAGTTCCAAACTGGGAGAAAGGCACTGGAAATTGGTATTGGTATTGGTATTGAGTTTATTTATATGCCGCCCTTTTCCCTGGGGGGACTCAGGGCGGCTCACAACTTAAAAAGGGAAGGGGGGAGAAGACAAACTTTTGACATATAAGACAATACATAATTAAAAAAAAAACACAACATTCATACCATTCGGGCGGGTTACAATCTTAGTCCCAGGCCTGACGNCTGCTTATTTCTTCTGTTCTCAGTTTTAAATTAATTTTAAGTTTTTTGTAGGCAGTCACTTTTAAAACGGTCAAAATTCCTCACCAGCTGTAAGCACTTTCTCTTTCTGTTTCCTTCCGTTCGGAGCCGTCCCAACTTCGTCAGCCTAGGGGCTGTGCTTTTATTGCCAGCTAGAAGAACTTATCCTGGGTCGATCAGGCACTTTGCTGTGTCCCTGAGATCAGCAGGACGTATTCTTCCCGTTCGCCATCTCTGCGGGACGGTTTAGGTCCGATTGGACCACCCAGCGATAAAAGTTTTGGCAGCGATCTCAGAGCATTGAGATCGCATGTCCATCTCGTAGCAACGTTGGCTCCTCCTCCGTCGGCCCCTTTTTATTTTTGAATCCAAAAGTAAAATCCCCCAGCCCTCACTGATCAAAAATGTGGTCACTATTACTTACAGGCAGGGGATCAACGTAAAGGATGACAAAATGCAGAGACATGGAGAGGCAGATAGATCCCAGAAGCCAGATGTTCACCCAGGGAGGCATCCGTACCAAGGACTGGTTCTCTGAAAGGCTATATAGGAGAGAGAAATTGGAAATTAAATCAAAGTTATGATTTCCATTCCGTTTTTGAAATGAGAGCTCCCAGGCTTAAATAACTAGTCAATGCAAATATATAATGACTAGTCCTCTTTAAAAAAATTGAGATATATGAGACATGAGCAACTTTCTTTTGAGCAAAAGGTTAATTAGATAAATATCTCAGCTCTGCTTGGAAGATCACAATCCTGGGAGTTAACAAATGGGTGCATTTGAGGATTGCAACAAAGTTAAACCACAGTATTGCAATTTGGATGCAGAATTCAATTAGACTGAGACTAGTTCTCAGACTACATTTCAAATCAACATCTTTAAGACTTTAAAACATGTCATCAGAATGGGAGAGCTAGTGATTGGGGGCACTTGTTCTTTGCCCTTCCTTCTAAACAGTAAAACATGAATTAATGATGTAAATAAATATATGTTTTAAATTAAGGACATTTGTGTTCAGAGCATGGCAATAATTCTGCTGCAGTAACTGGGAAAGCACTGCTTTTGTGCTAATTAATCTTGGCATGCTTCAGCAGTCTACCCTTCTTCTATTGTGAAGACCAGAATGGGACAACTCGCCACAGTTAACTCACCACAGCCAACTCACTGTGGGATAACTCGCTGCAGGATAATTTAACAATTCTATTTAATTATTTAAAATAAAAAAAATATTTTAATTTTTGTCATTCACATTTCATTTCTGACCCTCCTTTTGCATCCTTTCTTTAATGATTCTATTCCACTATTTGTTTAATATTACTGTTACTCTTCTCCAGCAGCAAGTTGCCCTGTGGTGAGTTGGCTGTGGTGAGTGGTCCTACAATGAGTTGGTCATGGCAAGTTGGCTACAGCGAGTTGGTTCTGGCAAATTGGTTGTGACGAATTGTCATAGACTCTGTGAAGACATGTCCAATGAGATGTAGGTGACTTACAATGCTATTCTTCGGCTATTCCTTGGTTCCCTGTATTGCTGCAAAAATTATTCTGCCTTACATATTTGCAGCAGCTGGTGTTTTGCATGAAATGTAAGTTAACTTGAAATATAAGTTTTTTCACATTGCAAAAAAGCTGAATTAAAACTGAATCTCTAATATTCATTTTTTGTNCTGTTCAGTTTAAATGTTTATCCAGAAAATCTGTGAATTTAATGCCAAGTAACTCAGTCCCTTTCTTGGATGGATGCAAACCATCTCTTTTGTACCGTCTTTCATTGGACCAGCTGCAGACATCATGACTAATAAAACCAAAGCCTTCCCTTTTACACCATTCCTTTAGCCACACATTAAACTCAGCTACACACTGGCCTTTCCCTCTTTGTTCCCTATATACTGGTAAACCTCTGAAAAGATAAGCCTACAACCTATACTACTAAGTTCATACCCCAAGCTCTGGAAATCATTCTGCACAGAAAGTACAACTTTTTGGGACAGATCATTTGTGCCAAGATGTATAATAGCATCAACATTACAGTCCTTACTGGCATTCCTGAATATCTTAAGAATGAGCCTCTGGAGACTTCCAGTTGCAGCCTCAGTAAGAACAGCTGGAAAATAGCAGGCTCGGCTGAGCCCTGCAAAATCCAGCTGGTAACCGCTGCTAGGAAACCCTTCGGGGTCATAGCCTCCTTGAAGGGGAGGTGAAGGAAGGTGAGGTGCTTCGCTGACCACGAGGAATCTGCAAATTCCTCATTTGGTCCGAAGCAAGCTCACCCAAAAGGCAGCAGGCACAACTGCCATTGCTGGCAGTCATGAAGCCAGGACAACCAGGAACCAAGATTGTGCAGGAGCGGTGTATGGACAGAGCATTGAATTTGGGTGAGATAATTACCAACTTTTACTCTAATGGCTTGCAGTAACAAAAAGAATATTAAAAGAACACTCCTAAGCTTAAATTAGCTGCGTACCAATCACATGGAGAAAAGGGGGGGGGGGGAATGGAAAAGAAGAGGCGGAAAAAGCCCAAAGGAAACTATGAAATACAGAAAGATTCGGGGAAACTCAAATATTTTGAAAGTGACTTCAGGGAGAAATTATTTGTTATTTGTTTATTTGCATTTTTAAATTTCTCGGACTTACTGACAATCAGATGTTTTAAACAGACTGCTTAATATTGGCTTTGAGAATAAGAGAGCCATCTACTGGTGAAAGAGAAGTATTACACTACAGCAGCAGTACATTCAAGGGAAGTTAACCAAATATCTACAAAGATTAATACACAGAATAGAAGCAACAACTTCTGGAGAATGGCCTGACCTTGATTCTATTGTGAGAAGACGACTGGAAAAATCTGAGAATATTTAATGGTCTTTCTTTTTCCTTTTGAACAGTTATAAAAGGAATTAATTTGCAAACAGCAAACTTTACTAAAATTGACTATTGGACTAAGGATTGGAAAGGTCGGAAGAACCTAGTGGATTAATGTGGACTAATTTGGATTTGGACAACTCAAAAGAAGGAAAGGGCCTGAAGAAAAGAGAGAAGAAGGAAAATAAGATTTTAAAACTTGGATAATTGGGAGATAAATATTTGGAGAACTATAAGGCTGTAAATTATTGTAAAATAAAGTGAGGGGTTTTGGAGGTATAAATATGGGGTTTATGAAAAATTTTAAATACTGAAATATTGGAACAATAGAAACATACTTTTTATAATTGGTATTAAATCGCCATAAAAAGGACCCACAAGAGACATTAGAAATATTGTTGATGTTAAAAAGTCTGCGTAAACTTATAAGAGATAGTAAAGAGACAAAGAGATTGTTTAAAGCATGGGTCCTCAAACTATGGTCCATGGACCACAAGCGGCCCACAAAAACCATTAATCTGGCCCGCGCAGGACTACGAGACTGCCCCTCCCACATCGCCCCACCCATCCTTCGGCCAAGCGCAGGACTTACCTTCAGACCTTTCAGAGTCCTGCTGGAACTGAAAGGTAAGGCCAACAATTTTGGCCTACAGAGACATTCTGGAGGTGGAGGGGGTGAAAAATGGGGTGCACAGACACCCCAGGAGGCAAAAAACTGGGTGAAAACAACCTGTTTTTGCCCAAAAAACCAAACCATTTTGCCTGTTTTTGGCCTGCAGAATGCTTCTGGAGTTGGGGGGTGAAAAACGGGGCACACAGCTGCCCCAGGGGGCCAAAAATGAGCTGGTTTTGCCTGGTTTTGGCCAAAAAACCAGGGCATTTTTTACTTTTTTTGGCATGCAGAATGCTTCTGGAGGTGGTTAGGATGAACGATGGGGCGCACAGATACCCCAGGAGGCCAAAAAACTGGCAAAGATGGCCCGTTTTTCACCTCCCCCACCTCCAGAAGATAGATAGAGATAGATAGACAGAGGGAGAGAGACAGAGGGAGAGGGAAAGGGAGAGAGACAGAAAGAGAAAGAGAGAGAGAGATTTCTATCGATGCACAAAATTGGAAAGTAGACAATGTTAAGTACTTTGAATATGTTAAGTACCTTGAATGCATGTAGTTTCCACCAAGGTCCTCTGCTACCAGCAGGAACTCATTTAAATCTGATTGGCCGAAGGCCCTGCCGGAGCCCTATAAAAGGGCTACTGCCGGCCAGGACCTTCGCTGGATTGTAGAGAACAGTCACTGAATAAAGAGCTGTTGTTACTGAACCTGAGTCTGCCTCATCTGTTCACCTGATCCAACAAATTCCTTCAGAGGTCTTTGCATCTGAAGATGCTGGTGACCAATTGTGAACCATCCAAATGCAAAATATATAATCTCCTCTGGGTTACTTCTGTAACATACAGTTCATGGAGTTATGCCATTAAAATGAATCTGAT